CTGGGGCTGTGGCAATGGAGGCGGGTACTGACCCTCTTTTATAGTGTCAGCATGGGGTGCATGCTAGGAGTCACATAGAAACAATTATTAAAAGTTAACTTTGATCCACGCAGATGTTGGCTATAAGCGGCAAGAGGATTAAAGGCTAACCCCTGGATGTTGACAGAGGAGCTGGCTGTAGAGTAGACAGTCAGTGTTAGAAGTTAACTTTTAGATCTCATGATTGCCATGTTTATAATTTTATATTTCTATATTCCAAATCCTTCATGGTGGTTATAGCTCAGGTATATTGGTGCATGCCTTTAATCCCAGCACTCAGGAGACACAGACAGGTGGATCTCTGTGAATTCAAGAGTGAGTTTCAAGAAATTCACAACTAGAGAGAAAGCCTGTCTGGAAACAAAGAAAGAAAGAAAGAAAATGGTTGGATTCCAAGGGTAAATGTGTGACATGCCAAACAGTGAGTTTTCATCTAGAAATTATGCACAAATTCAGTAGAAATGTGACCTGTGGAAGACATAATTAAAGAAACAAAGGGGGGTCTAGAAAATTATGAGATCACAAATTGTACAATATGAATTACCCAGAATTCACTTTGTAGTATAGACTGAAATGATTCCTTCAGCCATCCTCCTCCCTCAGACTCCAAAGAGGTAAGATTAATAATTAGGTGGACCACACCAGGAAATCCTACTTTGTGTTTATTGTGAGACAAGCTCTCTCATACTGATATTGAGCTTACTCTCTACGAAGGCTGGCTTCAATTCCTGATCATCCTGTTGTCCTTGATTTCCTGAATCAAATAAAAACAAAATAACCAAAGAAATTTAATTGAGGGACATGACAAGAATATGTGGCCACTAATGCTTATCCCACAATGTCTTTGTTTCTGTTTTCTACCTCCCCAACATTTTCAAAACTGGTGCTTAGGTGCTTGAAAATGGAGCATTCTATAACATTTTCACTTTAAGAATGATTAATGCTGTCAAACTCTGTTCAAGAAAGTATACCTTGAGCCGGGCAGTGGTGGCACATGCCTTTAATCCCAGCACTTGGGAGGCAGAGCCAGACAAATCTTTGTGAGTTTGAGGCCAGCCTGGGCTACCAAGTGAGTTCCAAGAAAGGCACAAAGCTATAGAGAGAAACCCTGTCTCAAAAAACAAAACAAATCAAACAAAAAAAAAGAAGAAGAAAAGAAAATATACCTTGTAAGTGTGTACATAAACTGTTTGTCTCTCTGTGTCTGGGATACCTCACTCAGGATGATTTTTCACTGTTGTTCTATTTGCCTGATTATTTCATGATGTCATTTTTTTAACAGATGATTAACACTCCAGTGTATAAATGTACCACATATTCTTTTCCCATTCCCCAGTTGAGGGACATCAAGGTTGTTTCCAGTTTATGGCTATTATAAATGAAGCCACTGTGAACACCATTGGGAAATTAGCTCATAAGTAAATGATGGTCATGCTGCAATCACAGACCCAGACAGGCTAAGTAACAAGGAGAGCTCTGTGGGGACACATCGATCTCCCTAAGAAGGTGAAATAGAATAGATTTTGTTGGTGGACTGGGGTTTATTGGGGATGGGAACAAGAGGGATCAGCAGGACTGGGAGGAAGGAGGGAGAGAGGACTGGGAGAGATGAATGGAATTAAGGGGACATTTGGAAGATAATGTAGAAACCAGTGCAACACAATTTCCCTGGAATCCACGGGAGTGACTACAGCAAAGTTTCCCAGCAATGTGGGATGTGGAGCCCAAACTAGCTATCTTTTATACCCGGGCATGGCTCCTATCAGTGAGACTTGGACATCAACCCAACCACAAAACCTTCAAATTACAATCTGTCATGCCTGTAAGATCTGCTGGAGCAATGGTGGCTCAGAACTTGTGGGAGTGGCCAACCAATTACTGGTCTAACCTGTGGACCATGTCATGAGGAGCCCATGCCCAACACTGCAAGGATGGGCTGGAACCTGAGGCTGGATAGTAGAACCAAATATAACTGGCAAAATAGACATACAAACTTACAAGCAAACAAATATGAATAAAGAAATAAATAAATCCTACTGTAACATTCTGCAATATTCATAGATTGGTTCCTATCCTAATCATTATCCCACCAACTGAAGGGAGAATATACAGAGACCCACAGCCAAACATTAGGCAGAGCTCAGGAAATCTTGCAGAAGGGCAGTAGGAGGAAGAGAATTCAGGGATTCAAGGAGAACATGACCCACAGAATTAACTTAGCAGGGCTCAAAGGTCCTCAGAGAGACTGAAGGGGCAGTCAAGGAGCCTGCAGGGGTCTTAGCTAGGTTCCCTGCATATATGTTATGGTTTTTCAGTTTGGTGGTGGTGTAAAACTCCTAACAGTGGGAATGGGGGTTTCTCTGAGTCTTTTGTCTGATCATGGGACCCTTCTCCTCCTGCTGTGTTGCCTCATTCAGCCTTGATATGAGGGTTTGTGCCTGGTTACATTGTGTCTTGCTATGCTCGGTTAGGTTGATATCCTTTGGAGGCCTGCTCTTTTATGAAGGGAAATGTAGGAGGAGCAGGTGAGGTGTGGAGGTAATTGGGAAAAGTGGTGGACGAGGAACTGGAGTCTGAATGTAATGTATGTGACGAAAATAAATAGAGAGAATGAACAAAAGGAGGGAAGGAAAGGAAGGAAGGAAGGAAGGAAGGAAGGAAGGAAGGAAGGAAGGAAGGAAAGGAAGGAAGAAAGGAAGGAAGGAAGTCAACAAACATGGTTTAAGTGAAATGCTGTCACCCTCACACCAGAATTTCTTCAGGGAGCTATTGATCCAGCCTACTGAGAACAAAAATCACCTGTCCAATTAAAGCCAATTAAGCAAGCTTTAATTGCTATGCATATTGCTGACTCCACAATGAGATTTGAGGATACAGTGAGGGTTAACCTATGGTTCAGCCCCCCACCTATGGAAAAAAATTAAAATGGGGTTTTGTAACATAAAGATTATGCAAGAGACTTTTATGGAAGAAGATAGCAGATTAGATTATTTGACAAATCATCTCAGCAAAATGTCTCAAGGTTCCTTGACAGAACACCTTATCTTGTTGGGGGAAGAGTACTAGGGAGTCAAACTTGAACTTTGTAGCAATCAGAAACAACTTATAACAAATGGCTTTTTACACTAACATGGAATCAGGCTGGTCCATCAGGTTGCCATGTTCATTCCAAAGAACTCCTAAGTTTCTTTCTTTCTTTTCTTGCTTTCTTTATTTCATCTTTCCTTCCTTCCTTCATTCCCCTTCCCTTCCTTCCTTCCCTTCCTTTTTTCTTTCTTTCATTCTTTCTTTTTTTCTTTCTATGTTTTTCTTGTGTAATCTTGGCTGTCCTAATACTAACTCTGTAAACCAGACTGGCCTGGAACTCCGAGATCTGCCTGCCTCTTGAGTGCCACCTGTAGACGAATTTCTAAACAGTCTTATTAAATAAGAAACACAGAGCCAAATACAGGGATGAAAGCTGTAGAGATCAGAGAAAAAGTGACAGCCACCAATTAATGTTAGCTCACCAAACCACCATAGCTTCCCAAGAGAACCCAGCTTCTTTCTGTCTAACCTGCTCCTTTATTGCCTTGCTGTTCTGCCTTCTCATTGGCTCTTAGCCCAGCCACCTCACTTTCTGGTCACTGCCTGTCTGTACAGACCTGCAGGTCTCTATGGTTGGTACTGGGATTAAAGGCATGTGTCACAACGCTTGGCTATGTCCTTGAACACACAGAGACTCTGCCTGCCACGTGATCAGATTAAGGGCATGTGCTACCACCATCTGACTTTTGTTTATGCCTGGCTATGACCTCTGATATCCAGGCAAACTTTATTAACTAACACACAAATAAAATATCACCACAGCCACCTAAAGTCTCTAACCAAGATTTCCAAGCAAAATTTGATAAAGGCATCAAAATTGAGACCTAGCTGTCTTGCACTGGTCTATCAAGCAGCTTCTCTGAGCTATTGAATCCTGATGTCAACACTAGACAGGGTGCTCCTTTCAGGAGGTTAGCTGAAACCATACAAAGACCACAGTCTCTTTTTTTATGGCACAGTCAAGGTCACCTGATCAAAGAGGTTATATGATCTCTAAGGAGATTGTTGTTTGCATTTAGAATGTCCACACTGAAAAAAAATGACCTTGAACCTACATTCTGTTTCTTTAGTCTATATGAGAAAAGAGGGACCAAGCATTTGAGCAACTTTACCAAGCATATTAATATAGAAGTGATACCCTCAACAGAACCTCTAATTACTGATAATAACATTTTTTATGGAGCCCTGAGCCCTCTGTTGTTTAACTGCTATATAGGTGATTGAATCACCCATCTAATCCCATCATGTTGACACAGTCACACTAGATTTCATCCCCTTTGGAAGCAATGAAACCAGATTCCTCTTTTTCCATTCCAACGCTGAGTAGACACTTCAAAGAATATTTCCAAACTGATTTGAGTGCATGCCAAAAAGAAAAGACCAACAAAGAGTGTGAAATTCCAGAATTTTATTGCTCCAAAGAATTGCTGCTCAAGCACAATGAATAAAAAGTCCCCACAGTGTGTTCTACATAGCAAATCCAAAAGAAAGATTTTACAGGGAAGAGCTAGAGAAGACAGCATGGCCTGAGCCTTGCTGGCTGAATACAAATCCTGCATCAAAAGCCTGTGGATGGTGAGCTGCCTCTACCATGATCAGATTCCATGAGTTCCAGTACAGGCCTCTGTAGATCTCCCCTAGGAAACCAGAAGCTTTGTGGGGCTTGAGTCATCCTGGGACCTTGGGAAGTTTCTTCCACATCCAAACAATCATCCTTAGGGACTTGGCAAGGCCAGACAGGTACACAGAAGGAGCGTGAGACATTCTGTCTTTCCTGGCCCACAGGTCCAAATCTCTTGCTCCAAGGCCTTCCTCGAGTTCAGATATGTCCTCAGGACACATGGTCAGTAATTGTAGTGAGCCTTAGTAGACAGTTAGAGGCCTCCACCCTTCCTTCTTCTTCTTTTTCTTCTTCTTCTTCTTGAACTTGATGTTCCTCCCTGACGCCAGAGCTGTCCAGTGTTCATGGCTCCATGAGCAGACAGAAATCTGGCAGAATTGTGATATGGGTAATTCTCCTTGTTGGGATATTTCTTGTACCAGTATTGTCTGTATCTGGGCTGGTGAATCACAACTACATTGGCTGGTAGAGTGGGTTCAGCTCTTCTGAGGTTCAGCAAAGGATTCTGCCTGTTCTGCTCCTGCAGCACTTTCCACTCGTGTAAGGAGAATTCTATGGCTGCTCTATTCTCCATGTGTCCTCGTGGTTCTACAGCTCCCACCCAAGATCCTCTGTTGAGATTTCTGTTCTGGGGTTGTCCAACCTGAGCCTGGTTGACTGTGCCTCCTGGCCCCTTGACACTGTCCTTCTTTAGCTCAGTCTCCCGGATGTAGAAGAGCACATATGCAGGCTCACTCAGGACAGAAGTCACATCCCACCTCTCAACCTTAGAATCGTCCATCTTATACCACTTCCCACTGCCAGCTCTGACATAACAGAAGTAATGTCCAAAGTGACAAGTCACACCAGCATGGACCAGCACAGCATAAAGGGCATACACCAGTGGTCCTCCCTCAGGCTGAGACATGTATGGCCGTAGGTCAAGGGACTCTGGGTAACTTATGTGCCTATCCACTTTGCCACCCATGAAGTCTGAGAAGCGATTCAATACCAGCAGGAGAACCTTCGAGGCAGTTTCAATTGTCAGGGTCTTTGAAGCTGGCATCTTCTCCTGGCAATGGTCACAGTGGTAGGCATTTTCCCCACACAGCTCTTCAGGCTTCACTAAATCCTCCAAGGCTTGGTTCACACTCTGAACTGCGTTGATATCCAAGGAGATGTCCAGAAATTGGTTAACAGAATCTGAGGTGCCCTGGCAGCTGAGACACTTGATTTGAGATCTGCATGAGCCTCCAAATATCTCATGGATCAGGCTGCTGTCTTCAGAGGGGGCTTCTGAGTGCTTGCTCCCTCGAAGGCAGGATTCATGCATGGCGTTCAAGGTGAACATCAGAAACTCATGGGCATCTTCCTGCTTGTCCTTGTGGAAGGTGGCAGTCAGCTTCCTCGAGGGCTGCATGACATCCCCGGAGTGGAGGAGACTCTGGGTCACGTGAGTTTTCATGACACACATGGTACAGTCTTCCTGGTGACAATAGCTCCGAGAGTGCTCCCGGGAGAGCATGTAGTCGGCAAGAGGTGGTGTGTGTGTCAGACACTGCAAGGCTGCATTGAGGTAGCAGGTGTTGCCCGTGTTCAGGAGACCTGCACCCACACCTTCGGGCCTCTCCCAACTCACACTCTGCTTGTTCCTGGCGGCCAGCTCAGCTGCTGCCTGAGTTCCATCCTGATACAGGTCTGGGGTGGCAGGAGTTGATTCATTTGAACCTGCTGAAGGATAAAAACACAAAGAGACTTGAGGATCTACAGTGTTGAATGAGGACCTGCATGCTATAAAGATCTTACAGTGAGATTCACCTTCTGAGAGCCGCAGAGCTGCCTCCATGTCTCCAGAGGCCAACTCTGAACACCTTGCGGGAGTCTTCTCAGCGAGTAGAAGGATGCTTTTCCCTTCTAAGAAGCACTACAAGTGAGGACTGTGCCCAAAGGCTGAGCCTTTTTATACTTCAGTTCTGTGGCCACACCCATAATCCCTGCTGGGACAGGCAATCCCCTACAAGCCTCTAACTGCCTAGTGCAATTTAGGGTGTGGCTTATGCAAAGCAGCACTGAAATCTGATCTCTGGTTTCCACTTCCCTGAAATCAGGTCCTTTGCCCAAGGTGTCTTATGCTTGAGTTTTCCCTGTAACAAAATTTATAAACCACATCACATGAAGACAGGATGGTAGCCCTGCCATACAAGAATCTCCTTCATGTTGTTGATCCCACCGAAGAAAAATAAAACCCACCAACCTGAATTGTTTTGGATTGAAGGAAGCAGCCTTTACTTCTGTGTTCAGCAGCACATGTCCAGGGGCTGTTCTAACTCTCCACCCCAACCTTAGCCCCAATGTGGGGCTCAGGAGATCATCAGCAAGTTAACTCTAAGCTCCTTTTACAGGGCAAAATCTGGGGTCTCCAGATAGAAATTTGTCAACATAGAAACTTGGTAACCAAAATATAAAAGTATATGGTGGTATGAGACTCTTTGGCAAAAAGTTTTGGTGGTGTGGGGATTGTGTATTTCAAGGCACAGTCAGGTGTGGACCAATTTGAAATGCAGGAAGGTTTAAGGTATGGTAAAGTCAATTTCCAGGAAATAGAAAATTAAGTTTTACAGCAAACTGAAAAGATCTCATTTTCACCTTGTAAGACAGCTCCTGATCTTAAGATGGAGTCAGGCTGGTCTACCAATGTCCTAGGGTGTTCTCTGGGCGGTGGGGGAGGGCACTTGGAGGAGTGGAGGGAGGGGAAATTGCTGTTGGGGGTTGTATTGCAAGAGAGAAGAATAAATAAAAGAAAGAAAGTAAACAGGATTTAAGAGAAAAGTCATCATTTTTCACAACAAAATCTCATTAGTGAACTTTTGATCCTGTAGTTCAAGAACAAAAACTACCAACCTAATTAAAGCCAAACAAGCAAGCTTTATTTACGAAGCATATATATTTACTATGCTGCAACGCAGGATTTCAGAGTACAATGTGGCTTAACTTTTCAGGCCCCTTTTATAGGGAAAATATGTAGAATGTGGATTTTTTAACAAGAATTTTGCAGGAGAGTTTAAAGAAGCAGATAGCAGATTAGATTATTTGACAGATCATCTTGGCAAAACTTCTCAAGGTTCCTTGACATAACTAACATCTTATCTTATCAGGGTAGAGTACCTATGAGTCAAACTTGAATTTTGTAGCAAATAGAAGCAACTTATTCTGACGTTATAACAATGTGGTTTTTTTTACCCTAGTATGGAATCAGACTGGTCCATGCCAACTCCATGTTCATCCTAAAGCACTCCTCTCTCTGTGTCTCTCTCTGTCTGTTTGTCTCTCTCTCTCTCTGTGTCTCTGTTTCTGTCTCTCTCTGTTTTGTTTTTGTTTTTTTCCTTTGTTTGTTTGCTTGTTTGTTCTTGTTTCTTTGTTTTTTGAGACAAGGCTTCTCTGTGTAGCCTTTGGCTGTCCTAGAACTCACTCAGTAGATCAGTCTGTCCTCATACTCACAGATATCCACAAAACTGTCTGCCTCTGCCTCTTGAGTGCTGGGATTAAACATGTGCACCACGTACTTTCTAACCAAGCTTTTCAAGCAGAATTTGATGAAGAAATCACATCTGAGATCTAGCTGTTTTTCCCTCATTTATCAAGGAGATTCTCTGATCTGTCGATCAGAGATCAGACCCCCACACTGGAGTTGATTCTCCTTTCGGTAGACTGGCTGAAATAGTGCAGAGACCACATGGCTCCACAGTCTCTTTTACGTGAACCAGTCAAGGTCATATGATCAATGATGTCAACTAATCCGCAAGGAGACTATTGTCTGCGTTTAGGCTGTCCTTACTTTAAAAAAAAAAAAAAAAGACCTTGAACCTACCAGTCCATTTTTTAGTGTATATCAGTTAGGAGGGGACCTAGCATTTGTCCAACTATACCAAGCATATTAATGTAGGAATATTACCCTCAACAAAGTATCTATTTACTTATATTAATTTTTACAGTGCCATCAGTCCTGTGTTGTGTAACTACTTTGTAAGTGATTAAATCACCCATCTAATCCCACCATCCAGACACAATCACACTGGATTTCATTCCCTTTTGGTGCAATGAAACCAGATGCCTGTTTTTCCATTCCTAAGCAGAATAAACAATAGTCACACTACCATTTTATTTATTGTTTCATTGTATTATCCTTGCTATCTTGTAGATCAATTGGCTGACTTAGTTGTTTATCCAGTACGTTCATGTTGATTTTGTGTCTCTGGATGAGTCTGTGTGTACCAGTGATACAATCTTAGACCCTGCACATTCTGGCTAAATCCTTTACCTCTGTCATTTCCCACATTCCCTTTCCATTTTTATTTTCAGTCAGGATTTTTCTAAGTTTTCTGGAGTGTCCTTAAATGTAAGATATACCCAGGACACAAATTCCGTTTCACCTACTTTAATATGCCCCTAAAGATCTGGGTTATTAAATCTGCAGGATCATACATATTACTCTATAGATCACTATGTTAAATCACAAATTCATCAACATATTATATCCTCATTGTATCTTATTAATAATACTAGTCATAAGACACAGATCATTTTTTTCACATAGAAATTCAGAAGCATGGAAGAATAGGGTCTACTTTGAAGCAAGTGTGAGATCAGTGAGAGAACTTCTGTGTTTATGGGATAGTTTGACAGAAATTCCACCTTCTGTGGATACACACACTGTGAGGAAAAAGCCAAGCCTATGACCTTCCTGATATGGCCTCTAATGATGTCCCTGGTTCAAACACAGCCACTCAAAGAAATTTACATTGGGTGGCAATCTACATCCTTTCCCTCTCCACCATATTTAATCACTTCACTGTGGATGTTCTGAGAACTGAAATATAATTGTTTTGGTGTTTAAAATGGAATTTTCCGTTTAAAAATCTTTCCATGTGGTCCTAGAGCAGTGGTTCTCAACCTTCCCTTTAATACAGTTCCTTGTGCTGTGGTGAACACCAAGCATAAAATTATTATCATTGCTATTTCATAATTGTAATTTTTTTCTGTTAATGAGTTGTAATGTAATTATCTGATATGCAGTATAGATGATATGCAACCCTTTCTACCCCTGAATGGGTTATGACCCACAGGTTGAGAACCACTGTCCTAGAACTTCAGTAACCAGTTGGATTATTTGGTTTATTGATATCTTGTTGTTTCTTGAGTTGTTTACATATTTAGAAAATCAGCCCTCTTTCAGATGTGGGGTTTGTGAAGATCTTTTCCCATTCTGTAGGCTGCCATTTTGCCCTATTGATGGTGTCATTCGTCTTACAGTAACTTTTCAATTTCATGAGGTCCCATTTGTGGTGATATTTTGTTTGTTCTTTAACAATTAAAGCTTGCCTAAAGATCAGAGGGTGGAGCTATCCACTAATCAACCATAGAGGCCAGGCAGTGGTAGCACAGACTTTTAATCCCAGCACTTGGAAGATCAGTGGGCTACATCAGATTGGTCAGTCTAAACGAGAAACAGAGCCAGGTGGTGGGAGCTCATGCCTTTAATCCCAGCACTAAGGAAGTGGATACAGGAAGTGATATGCCTGGGTGGGGAGAGGAAGTGATAAGGGGGCAGTGGAGACAGAAGCTTGGTCCATTTCAATGTGAGGATCCTAGAGGTAAGAAGTTTTTCTAGTGGTTGGTTGCTCTGCTTCTCTGATCTTTCAGCTTTCACCCTGATAACTGACTCCTGGTTTGTATTATTAAGTCCAGTTAGAATTCACACTACACCCTTTTATTAACTGTCAATCTTAGTGCCTGGGGCACTGGTGTTCTGTTCAGGAATTTTCTCCTGTACCAATGCATTCCAGATTATTTCCCACTTTCTCTTCTTCAGCTTTAGCTGGATTAAAACAAAACTCAAGACCAAGTTGTCTTTGATCCACTTGGACTTGAGTTTTGTGCAGAGTGATAAATGTGGATCTATTTGCATTCTTCTATCTGCCAACATCTAGTTAGAACAGCACCATTGTTGACAATGCTTTCCTTTTCCATTGCATATTTTGACTTCCCTGTCAAAAATCAGGTGTCCATAGGTTTGCAGATTTATATCTGGGTCTTTGATTTGATTCTATTGATCCACCTGTCGGTTTTTCTGCCAATACCATGTGATTTTTATTACTATATCTCTATAGTACAGCTTGAAATCATGGATGGTGGTATCGCTGGGAGTTCTTTTATGGTATAGGATTGTTTTAGCTATCCTAGATTTTTTGCTTTTCCATATGAAGTTAAGTATTGTTCTTTCAAGATCTGTAAAGAATTCTTTTGGCATTTTAATTGGGATTGCATTGAGTCTGTAGATTGCTTTTGGCAAGATTGCCAATTTTACTGTGTTAATCCTTACAATCCATGATCATGGAAGATCCTTCCATCTTCTGATATTTTCTTCATTTTCTTTTACAAAAACTTGAAGTCCTTGTCATACAGGTGTTTCACTTGCTTGGTTAGAGTTACATAGCAGTTAGAGTTACGTAGCAGGTAGATCAAGGAGAGCTTTGAGCTCAGTTATACCAGGGTTTTTAAGGAGGAAGGATGGGAGTGTATGGGAATTCTGGATTCAGATGGGAGTTGAATTCCTGATTGGGCAGGAGTGGGGCAACAAAAGTCTTGTCAAACAGGGATTGGTATTGGTGTTGTTGCAAGGCGACTGGTAATCTATATACAAGTAATGTAAGCTATTCTTTATGTTCTAGAGCATTTAGTACTTGTTTGTCTCAATTTGTATTGGTCCATGCAGGGTACAGTTTGTGGGTTTTCCTGGTTATTGTAAGGGTGAGGCCTAGTCCCAGTACTGTTATTCTGTAACCTGTC